GATAACTAGTTATAGAGTACTGAAAATAAGTTTCATGAAAAGAATTAAATTTTATGCTTTACAGTGTAATCTAATCGGTGAATATTACAGGAAACATCTGTTTCTAATGAATTCAAAAAAGAAAACACATATGTTGTGTGCAAAATAATATACTTTTATATATTGTACTAATATTTCAATTTTCCCAACATTGTAGTTGTGTCTTTATTGTTCTGTTTTGTTAATTTCTGTATGTTAGTAAATGTGTTTTATGCTGATTTTAAACTATACCAGAAATTGTGATTTTCATCTGAAAATTGTATGAATTGTTCGAGATTGAAAATGGTAAAATAGTTGAAGTTGTAAATATTTGACATTTCTTTTAATATTTTATGCAATATGAGCTTATTTTGTTAATTTTAAAAAAAAAAAAAAAACTTTACCATTCAATGAATATTATTTTTTTTTTATTTCAGGAAAAGATATTTTTAAAAGTTATATTGTTTTATCTTACTTGTCCTGTGTATTAAAAATCTTCCTAGATTACACTCTGAAATATTCTGTCCACTCTAATGTAAGTTACAGTTTGAAACAGTTTTGTAAATCAATAGTTGTGTGGATTATAATAATTCTGAACTATTAAAACATTTCTAAAATATATTGTAAAGATTGTATCACTAAGTTATGTGATTCAAATATAAAAATAGACTGTTATGAATGCATTTCTTTTATAATTAATGAAATATCTTTGAGTGTTACTTTTACAAATTTAAATGTTGAACTTATTTTTTTCCGGAATGGCATTTCAGTCCATTCCTCTTGGCTTATATCCACCTGGAAGGACATTTGATCAGCAGGAGCAAAAGCCACCGGTTAACCAGAATGTTCCTGTGCCAGTTAATGGTGAAAAAGCTTTGATTTGTGATCAGTGTGGAAAGACATTTGCTGACAAGAACAGTTTTCACCAACATGCTCAGTTCCATTCTAAGCCTTTTGCTTGCAAAGTTTGTAAGAAAACATTCAATTCTCAAGGAACACTCACTCAGCATATGCGTATACATACTGGCGAGCGTCCTTATATTTGTCAGCATTGTGACAAAAAATTCAACCAGGCGGCTAATTTGCAACAGCATCTTCGAATCCATACAGGAGAAAAGCCTTTCGTCTGTGAACATTGCAACAAGTGTTTCAATCAAAAGGCTATTCTCCAACAACATATCCGTATTCACACTGGAGAAAAACCTTACACTTGCATGTATTGTGGGAAGAAATTTTCTCAGCTAACAATCTTACAACAGCATATAAGAATCCATACCGGTGAAAAGCCTTACGCATGCGAAGAATGCGGAAAGCGTTTCAATCAGAAGACGATTCTTGATCAGCACATCCGACTTCACACTGGCGAAAAGCCTTTTACATGTCCTTATTGTGGGAAAAAATTCACACAAATGGCAATTCTCCATCAGCATGTTCGAATTCATACTGGAGAGAAGCCATATGGTTGTGACCGCTGTGGAGAAAAGTTTTCACAGAAGGCAATTCTGGTACAGCATATTCGTGTTCATACAGGAGAAAAGCCTTTTCCTTGTATGTATTGTGACAAGAAGTTCAGCCAAAAAGCAATTCTTTTGCAGCATATTCGAGTTCATACTGGGGAGAAACCATATGGATGTGAACATTGCGGAAAGAGATTTCGCCAGAAGACCATCCTTCAGCAACATATACGCATCCATACTGGAGAAAAACCATTTGTATGTGAGCTCTGCGATGAAAAATTCAGTCAAAAAGGAAATCTACAAAAACATTTACGTTCACATTCTGGGGAGAAGCCTTTCACATGTGACCATTGTGGACTCAAATTCACTCGAAAGGTAATGCTAGATCTCCATATACGCATGAGTATGAAAGGACCTCCTACTTCCACTGATATAAATAAGCCACTTACCTGTCATTTTGGTTTGTCAAATGACAAACAGCTTAGTAAGCCCTACATATTCAATGCACCTCCAAATGACAAACCAATGACGAAACCCTGTCATTTCAACACTAGTGATAAAGCTATAGCTAAGCCATGCCACTTCAATCTGACAACTGAAAAACATGCTGCTCATGCTTCCCTTGCTGCTTGCGTTTCTAGTGCCATAGCTCAGAATGAATGGGCTTTCCCTCAGTAGCAGTGTCCTCTAGATCTGTGATTTTTTTTTTTTTTTTTTTTTTTTTTTTTAATTATTATTATTATTCATTTAATTTCACTGTAGGCATTTCCTTTTTTGGCTTTTGCAGCCTGAAACATTTTGAAATTATATCAGTCCAGTATATTCATATAGTCTCATTTTGAAATTCTATGTCTCAAAAACACAAGTTAGATGCCAATAATTTTCAATAAGTTTGAGTTCAAGCAGTTTAAAGGCTGTCTCTAATGTGTACAGTATTTATGATAACACGGTAAATGCCTTTTGCAAATGCTTAAGGGTATTTCCTTAAGATGTTAAGGTATTGTCTTATAACATAAAATTTAGCAGTGAGTTTTATACTATGGTCTGTGTAAGTGTTTTGCATTTGTCTTTATTTCGTATGTTCCTAACATGCTAGTTTGAATTTTCGCCAAAATGAGAATTCTTTCTTCCTCACTCTAATCATTTACATACTCTGATGCCAATTTTGTTTTGAATCATAAGTAATGACTAGTGTGAACCGTGCATTATTGAATTTTTTTTTTTAACACACTGAAACATGCGTAGTGCCTAAACTTGTTATTTCAACGTTTTAAGTTATGTTACTCCTTTTAAACATGACTAAATTTATCATTTACTTTTAGAAAATGATGATTACTTGTAAAGAATATTAAAGTTCCTTAACTGATAACATGGTTCGTGATGGACAAAGTCGGTTAAAATCAAATTGCATGCATGTCTGCTTTTATTTGCTAAAAATGTATACTTTGTTGCTTATTGTAATGTTTTTGTTTTCTGTTTTATTGCTTTTATTGAATGTTAATTGTCATTGATCAAACTTTTGCATTTACAAGTAATATAAATGCATATTAAGTTTGTTTGCTTTAATTTTCTTTTGTATTATATTTTTGTTGTAAATTTGAATCGAAATCAGTCTTGCTTAAAATAGTTTCAAGTCTTGCTTAAAACAGTAATTTCAAGTCCTGTTTTTAAGTGATATTGGGAAAAATTTTTCATGGTTTTAACCAAAATTTGTCATTTGTAAAGGCATTTGAAACTGGCTAATCACGAATATTTTTAAGTAAATCTTAATTTACTCTATTTGAATTATTAATGATCTTTAATTTTTAAAATTTGTTTATGTTATATAGATATAAGTTTATTGGTTTAAATCGTTTACAAACTCATAAGTTTTTTAAATTTGTGATATTTTGTTTGTTTATATGTAAAGAATTTTAATAAAATCCTCATCATTATTTTACCTTTCTTGTTTGTATTATGCTGTTCTGTGTTGAAAATGTTTTTATATACTATAATAATTTCATTAAAATTAATGGTTTTATATATTATTAATAAAGGTACTTACTTGTTAATAGACAACAATTCGTACTGTTGACATGTAAAATGAGTATTGTAACAATCATCATACCTTTGACAAAAAAATCTAAATCTCATATATATATAGCATTGTGTCATACTATGTAATAAACAGAAGTGAAACAGAATTATAATAACTTCAGATAGAAAGTGATTGAATACACTTAGTAAAAAAAATGCAGTATTTCTCTTCATAATTGATTTATGATTGTATACTTATTGTAATGGTTATTTTCATTTCCCTTTGTTTATTTTGATAGGAAATTTATTCATAATGCTGATTGATAACTGGTAAGTATCTAATTAAATACCTGGAATGCAGAAAGCTTATGATACTCAAAATATTTAATTTTTTTTTGGGATATATGTAAGCCTTAATCAAAAAAAAAAAAAAAAAAAAAACTTGAATCTTCTGCTTGGTGGTGTGTATTATAATTTTAATTTAAGTATTTACCAGTGATTTTCTTTTTTCTCTTTTTTGAACACAGATTCTGTATACTTATCATTCTATATCCATTATATATATATGTGGTTAATTAGATTCAACTTTTTTGCACTTAGAAATAAACCTTTTCACTTTCACTGAGAAGGAAATGATCATTTCTAGAATATTTGTTTTCTGAATTTAAAAATATTGTTAGAAATAAATATTCTTATGTGAATAGTCAAATTTTTTATTGTGTTATTTTGATTCATGCAAACTTTGCATATTTATCTATTTGTAGTTAGATATTTTGTAGGATACAGTTTAAATTTTTGATACATCTGTATATGCATTTCTAAAACTATTCCATGAGTTAAAAAAAAAGGTTAAGATTTTTAAAGACCCTAAAAGGCATTTTAATGAGCTAATAATTTAATGTATTTATTTTATATTATACTACAAGTAATTTAAATAGCTTTATTATAATCTAAAATAAAAAATTTATATGCAGTGTTATTAGGTTAGGTCAGTGGTATTCAAACGTTATGGCACCCAATAAATTTTATGCAAACCAATAAAAATATGAATGACTCCAGAATTTTTTTTTTTTTTTTTACTTCACCCATAGCATTACCTTCAATTTAGATACTGTAGGATTTTTTTCCACCTTGAAACAGTACTATAAATTTTTGCAACCCATAGTTTGAATACCACTGGGTTAGGTTATTGAAATATGGCAGAACACACAAGGGCTATCAATCTAAGGGGACAGAGGCCTTCATGGAGGAGACCTACCTTCCCGAAGCATTTTCTAAGGGAATTTATCTTGTATCAACAAATGCAGAAAGTTGTGCTCAAAACTGAACCTGAATAAAATTCCCAGCATTCTAAAATTTTATCCTTTTATTGATTCAAAATACAAGCTGTAATGAAATATAATGATAATGTTAATGAAGTAACTTCTTATAACACACATTTAGACTGAATATTAATAATACTAATATATATATTATTATTAGAATATTCTATTATTATTTAGTCATAAGCTTTCTGAACCATATTTCCAAAAGTATATATGCCTTAGTTAATTGTTAATTACTTTGAAAATAAATTGTTTATAATTATTTCTAACTTAAAAAATTCAGTTTACCAATAATTTACACTTCCTGTTGAAAATTATGATTGATTATAAAATTGCACAAAGAACACATTATCCAAAACTCTTGGAAGTAGATGCAAATTACTTTTTTCATGAAATATTTTTTTAAACATACCAAAAAAAAATAAGTAAAATTTTCTATTAACTTATCAATGGATATGTATTTTATATATATTCGAGACTTTTGTAAGACTAAATTTGTGTATGTTTCTGTTAGTTGAAGATCTGTTTTTGAGAAGGTTTTGTTTAAAATTAGGCATATTATTTTATTGAGAAGTTGTGTCTCTTGAATATAGTTTTAAAGCATTCACATTTAAAAAAACACATATATAGGGCAGACAGTTTATTAATTGAGGCAATCTATTTCATTCTTGTGAAAAAATGCCTAAATAAATTTGTAACTGTTAAAGCTTTAATCTATTTGACTCATAATAAATTTGCCTTATATTTTTTATTTTGTGTGTAACATGTAAGTAATTAAATTAATGTCAAAGTTTCTGGTTTCCAAATAATGTTAGTTAAATCGTTTTAATCATGGCAAATGTGCAATTAGAAATTTTTTCTCGGGAAATTTCTAAGCTGAAGAATTTTAATCCATAAAATTTGCTTACAACTTCATGTTTTTTTTTTTTTTTTAAGAAAACTTATTACATATAACCACCTAGCTTTAAAGACATCTTTCTGAGGATCAGTCATTTTTTTTTCCCTTTTGTGTAATTAATATGTCATCTTGTGCATGCAAATAAACTAAGTATGTCTTCATGAGTAGTCAACTTGAAAAATGGTTTTAAATGGTAGTGCATTTTGATCTGAAGCAAAAGTATGATAATTCTGAATTTTTACAATGCCACATTATCAAACTAAAATTGTATATTGAAATTATTTTTTTCATATTATTGAATGTGTAGAGGAATAAAAAAAAATTACATAGAGTAACTCTGCAAATAAAGTTAATGAGATAAACTTATTAATAAATGAATTTTTCTTTAATGTTATTCTATTTAATAAATTTTTACTTTAAAATTATTATTATTGCATGTGCTTGAATTATTTTGTTTATCTTTAAAATATCCATAGGCTATTTAATTATTATCCTTTTTTTTCCCCTGAATTTTTTTTTACAGTTGTGTTTAATGATTAATTAGCCTTACAACAAGTGGTTCAATTTGCTTATAAAATATTTTGGATAAATAGTACTAAAGAAAACAAACAATATACAAGCATCATTTTTTAAACCAAGTGATTGAAAACGGCAAATAAAACATGAAACAGCTACAGAATCTTTCTGAATATGACCAGCTGAAGTGGTAGTTGTACAGTCTTATAGCAGGAATCTCGGTGAAACTAATGCATTTGATGTTTATTATTGTTATTGAATGTTTTCTGCATTTTTGTTGCTCAGCATATTTGGTATTATATAAATGATTATTGTAATAAGGTGCACTTTGAACAGAGTGGAGTCATTATTTTGCCAGAAATGTTTTTAATAAACCCCTAAAAAAATCATAGTTAATATTAGAATAAAGTAGTTTTTCTTAGCAGCTATGAAATGTCGGTTTAGATAACTGCAAATATAAAAATATCAGTACAAGAACTAACCATCTGCATCGAAAATGGTTGTGGAATATTTTGGAGGTGTTCTCTCATTTATTGATATGTTTAAGAAAAGAAAAGCTATTCATGAGTTATCGATGAAGACATACGAAGCAAGTTTTTGAGTCTAAGCAGAGAAATCAGAAAATATATGTCATTTAATTGTAATTACAATTACATTATAAAAAATTTTATGTGCATCATTTTTAATGAAATTCATTCCATATTAAGTGAAAGCAAGTTGCAGTTAATAAATCATGTTAATTCAAAAGCATAACAATTGAAGTCATAATTAAATAAGGGATTTCTGTAATTCCATCTCCAGTGTACTTAGGAATTATGCACATAATATCAGGTGATTAGAACAAGTGACATTGCTCAAAAACTGTGGTTGGTATGGGGGGAGGGCCTGAGTGAATATTTAAAATCAACATGCAGATGCATAAGAAACAATTTTACCTATTTTGTGACAAGACCAGTATTGTTATGGTTTTCTTGTAAATAAGCATGAAGTTGTATACTTCTTTTATGAGCATCTGTATATTATTTTTGTTTAGCAGAGAGACTTGGATATACTTAATTTTCTTTTATGAGCCATAAACTCAACATGGTTATGGTGTGCTATCCCTATCACAACTTTTACTGTCAGTTTTCTTTGACTGATCCTCATTCAATAATACATTTCACATAGTCGTTCATTGATAGGGGGTCAGTTGTTAATCACACCCCCAGGTTATGTGCCTGAACTGTGGTGTGTTTGTGTGTGTGTAAATATGTGTATATCACTTAAAATAGTTTAATATTAATCTTTGTTTTTAGTTTGGCATATAACTTCCATTTAGAACTGAAATTTTAAGCTATTTATAAGACACCCACTCATTGCATTTTATGATAGAGTTGTCATAAGGTTTTTGAAATAACTTATTATATTATGTAAAATATATGTAAAAGTCTATAAATTTTTATGTTTATATATAATATCAGGAAGTATAACATCCATGCATAAAATATTCAGATGGATGCTTTGTTGAAGTGGTATGACACTAGCATAGTATAAAGCAGTGAGATGCATATTGTGTAACAATTCTTTTAAACCACCCATTATATTATAGTATGTAGTATGATTCAGGGTATTATTTGAGTGTTATAATACAGTGAATTTTACATGTTTTTACCCGGGTTTCATGGTAGTTAAATGCTTGTCTGCGTGCTTGTAGGAAGTAATAGTATAGCTTATGCTTTTTCATGCCATGTATGTATGTGTGTGGTGTCATAGGCATGTACATGGAATCAGCCAGATGGAGTGTAGCACCACTGGAAAGGTTTAGAAAACATTTAATGCAGAAAGTAACTTTATTATCAATGTTACTTTAGTTATACATTAAAAGTTCTTGTAAATATGATGAGAAAATTTTGTTTTGGTACAGTAGATTCCAATTCTTGCAACTAGTAGTTGGTGCTTATCTATCTGGTCCAGTATAATCAAAGTGTTTGTACATGCCTATATGTGGTATCTATTTTCAAATGTAATTTTTTAGTTTTTCATTGAACGTTTGGTTTAGAGTTCCCAGAAATTTTAAATGTTTCATTGTTTGTTCATTTGTATTTTATGAGTTGAGATCTGAATTTTTTTAATGTTTTTAAAAAGTGGTGAAGAGTTGTAAAAAATTCATTATTCATAACATTTGATATTACAAAACTATGCAACTGCATAAAGAATTTTGTTTGTTTAATGCTATATATTTGGATTTTATTTCATTAATAATTTCCAAAAACTATTTTGGAATTTTTTAATAAATTTAGAATTCCATTTTGGCATTTATTAAGCTCTCAAAATATAATTGTATGCAATTTGAAGTTAATTTTTTTAATCATAATATATTTTAGTGTATTTCATATTCCTGTTATGCATAATGAATTCAAAGAATATATGCGTTGTAAAGAATAATTTTTTTGTGTTATAATTCAAAATTGTGAGCATTCTAAATTAATTCTTATGCTAAGTTCATCTGTACTGTATCAGCTTTAGCTCAATAAACTGAAATTGGTTTTAGAATCTGTGGAAAAGTGTGTTCTTTTTCAGTTTTAGGTGTTTTTAAATTTTGCATTCATATTTAAGAAGTTTAAAAAAAATCAGATTTATTTTTTTTTTAAATTCAGACTTTCTGAAGCATTTTTCTTTTAAAAATTTTACATTAGTAGAAGAATTAATTGCATATTTAGCAATAAATTAACACTTGGTCACATTTAATCAATCATGCATACTATTTCTCTTTTTATCATGGGAGAGATATGCTTAGGTAGCTGACTGGGTATTTAATTTGTATAGATTAAAGGTTCTTTTGAGGCCGATTTCTGTGGTAAGACAATGATTTTTTTTACATTTCAACTATTAAATACAAAAAAATTGAAAAAAAGGTTATAGTATATTTTGTTAAAAAGTGTTTCTTCTTCCATTCCCCACGAAGTAATACTAACGTTTTAACATATTCTTGGTTTTAGAAAGTTAAACCTAAAAAAATATATTAAGGCTAGACAAATAAGCATTTTAATATTTTCATTTATTCATAAAATATTTAAATAATTAGTCATCTTTATTGAATCTGATATCATTTCTTCTATGGCAACCCATTTAATGAGAATGATTTTAATAATCATTAAAAATGTCAATTTTTCTAGAGCATACAATCTACGACAAAGCCAAAGCTTTATTGATGAGATGGTGACATTCTTTTCCCTAGTAAATTTGTTGTAAGTAGTCTACTATCATTTTTTAACCTATTGTTACTGAACCTTGTCTACTTCAAAACATGTCGAGGTTCAGACCTAAAAAAATCGTTTTCTTAAAATTAATTTTCTTAGTGTGAGCTATCTTCCTGGTGAAAAGGTATTTTGTTGAGCACTAATTCCTTCAGAATTTTTTATCATGTGTTAATTATCTCTATGGATTGGAGGATCAGCTATAGTGGTTCTAGAAACTGAGCAAAAAAGTTTCGTTTTTTGTATGCTGTATTAATTTGAACTTAAATTTTGTGCTGAATACTTAATTTCATTTGTAAAATTAAACTGTTAATGAGATATCAAAATGAATGTAATATTTCGTGAAAACATAAAAATTATAAAAAGTATCAGAATTTAAGGTAAATATTAAACACAGTTTTCTCTCTAAAAGAATATGCGATTCAAAGGAATGAAAATATAGTCGCGAAATTCGGTGAACACATTTTGTAACCTTCTTTGTTTATAACAAAATTTAAATCTTTTAATAATTTTACTGTATACCTTTTGGATTGAACAACGTCAGTTTTGGTTTAGCTGCACTATGCACTCCATGGTAAAAGGAAATTTTTTTATGCCCCCTTTCTTGAATATTTAAGGATCTTTTTGTGGTGTCCTCTTATATTACTTAAGGCCATTCACACTGGGGTTTATCTGGTCTAACGAAGTCGTTACCTCCGCTATAGTGAAGTTTATTTAGATTTTTCAACTGAAGAAAAACTAGATTTCTCGCCATGGAGGTAAAGGTCTTACTTCCTACCTCCATGAGTTCGACTGTGCCAGACGCGCTGTTCGCTTAGATAAATCCTAGTGTGAACCAGGGTTAAACAAAAGGGCTAGGTCATTCCTTTGCGTGACTCGTTGCTGACGCGATCTTTATAGCGGGAGTTAGCATCAGCTAGGATTATAATGCGTGTAAAACTAGTTCCATTTTGCTGCAAGGCAATGTTCTAGGAGTCGCATATCCCAAATTAATTTTAATTATATATATTAGTTTTCTAATAATGCAAATATTTAAAAAATTGTATATGTATGTAGTTTTAGTCAGTTTTCCTTTTAAATTCTATATTGTAAAGTATCCTTTATGCAATATGGTTTCTTGCGTTGTAGCAATGATCCACAAATAAGAAAGGAAGAGATATTGTATTTCGCGCTTTCCCAAAGAACGATTTGCTTTTGATGAAAGAATGGAAACTTAAATGTTGAAGATAGGATTTCATTGATGTGAAGAGCGCAAGAATGTGCAGCGATATAAAGATGACATGAAAAATCTATGCAGTGCATATAAAGATCAGGGTTCGTAGCGGTCCTTATAAGTGCTTATAAGTCCTTATATTTGAAAATAAAATATAAAGGCCCTTATAGGTGCTTACTTTTTCTTTAAAGTCCTTATTTTTTTTGTTTTTAGTGCTTGCTTGCTTTTTTTTTTTTTTTTTTTTTTTTTTTTTTAAATGAAATGAACGCACTATTTTTCCGTGCTATTTTTCCCCGTACCAAAGCCGAAACTAAATAAACAACTTTTCTTCCTAATATGGAATGTCAGATGGTGAATCATACTCCCGGAAATAGCTTTTCCCCCTTTCTCTGCATTAACATAACTTTTGGTGTGCACGGAGAGTACAGACAGGTGCCCGTCGTTCTGTTGGTCAAAGAATTGCGAAAGCAGTAGAAAAATTCCGCTGCATTCGGCATTCTTTTCCTCCCACCCAAAATACTACACACACGTTTGAATTTCTATCAAGATCTTAAAAAAATTTGCATTCTCGTTCTGCTTGGTCAGTTCTTATTCGTGTTTATTATGATCGTTATACTTATATTATGAGCATATGTATGAATGTTTATAATAACATAGTTGCAGTAACTGAAGTATAGTACACTTCAAAAAATGGTTGTGTTTCAACACAGATTAGCTTTCTAAGGAATAATATTCGGAATGTCTTAAATAAAGTAATCGAATAGTCAAAATAATTTCATTTTTTTTTGCCAATACATTATACAGTACGAAGGTTGGGAGGTCTCCCCTTTCTCCGCAAAATCTTGAATATTGAAACTGTTACAGTTCGCTGCAAAACAAGCAACGGACCTTTTTTATTTTATTTTATTTATTTATTTTGGGGGGGGGTCACTTTCCAATCTGGATTGAATAGGACTAAAAGTTCTGCGGTCTACCAACCCAAGCGAAGAATGATTCTATTCCGGAAATTTAACGCCGTCTGTTGAAAATTAGAATGAAAAACACCCCAGTTATTTAGTTCTTTATTCTCCCAATACCGGCAGTTGTTGATTCCGATTGCGTAATATCACGTAGGGAAGAATTACGGCGCACGTATTGCGCAATAACGTTTGCGATATTTTGCAGAGATAATTAATTTTGATGTTCGGTCCGAGATTTGTTTATGAACACTTAAAAGAGTTTTACTGTGCTTGCTAAGCAGAATTTTTTTTAGTTCCGTTGGTTTATTTTATATGATGCACATATTGAAATTTCAAAAGCATTTATTTAGCGGGAAAATCTGAAGAGCGGCTACAGTCTACCCCCCCCCTCCGCTCCTTCAAGTTACGCTCGACTGTCCGAATATTCCCCAATTCCAAGTATGCGGGTTAGTTAAGCTTTTACTGTTAAAGATGGCTGCATGAAGCAAATTTCTGTCTTCTGATTTCAGAAATGTTCCGCTTTTTTACTTAAATTACTTTGCTTGCAATTTCTGTTAAGAGAAAACTGATATACAATGAAAATTTAGAAAATGTTCAGAATTTAGATTTAAATTATTTAAATATCAATATGAGTGGAAAAATAAATTGTATTTATTATTAGGTTCCAAACGAATACAATAAATATGCCTTACTATTATTTATTTTCTCTATTTTGAACTGAAATTTCATCATTAAATCTTGCAATATAGTTTAGTTCTTCTTTTTTTTCCCTCTCATTGTAAACTAGTTCTGTAATTTGAACTATTATTTAAAAAAAAAAAAAAAAAAAAAAGTAATTATTTTCCATGGTTGAGGTAATGCTTATTCTCCCTTAAAGAGTACTTCATTTCTCATATTTTAAATTACAATTCTAATTTTTAAGGTTATGCAGTTGTGTATGATGTAATTAGACAGGTGCTTATTCTTTTTCTTAAAATGTGATTGAAAAGTGCTTATAGGTGCTTATTTTTTTAACTAAAATGTGGCTATGAACCCTGAAGATGACATGAAAAATCGCTTCCTTGGATTACCTCAAAAGAAACTGCTGAAATCCAGTACTATACCGAAAGTAATTTTACCGTATGTAGTAAAGGAAATAACACCAAGAAATCGGAGACAAGAGAAAAGAAAACTAATGCAGAGTGCTTTCTGAAAAACATTCATGAATTAAGTCCAAAGAAAATTAATTTTGAAGCCGAGTACAAAATTGATGATGACAATAATAAATCAAATGTGAATGATTTTGAAACAAAACTCACAAATGACAGTGTAAAATATCTTTAATGCCCTAAGTGTAAAGATAAACAAGAATGCATTGATAATTTGAAGAACGAAATAATAATCTTAGAAAATTATATTAACGTATTGAAAAATGGAGAAAAGAAAAATTTTAGGATGTTTGCTCAGTGACAAAGAAAGTGAACGACATCTAGAAAGAATTTTGTATCATAAATTAAAATCTCAAGTAGTGAAGTTTAGAAAAAAAAAAGCATAGATCTGGGAATTTGGAAAAACGTCTGAAACAAATTTTTATGAAGACGCAAATTAACGTACTGTTAGTAAAGAAGAATAAAATCAGGTGAACTAGTGAAGATATTTCACGTTGCAGTGTCAAAAGAGATTTGTCATCTAAAAGCTACGATTTGGGGGAAGATAAAATGGGAATTTTTTTACCTAGTGCTAACACAATAGAGATGGTGCGCTAAATTTTCGTGTAATTCAGGATTGAGTGACGTTCTTGCTCTAATGAAGGAAATATGCGGATATTTGAGTTCTATGGAAAAAATATGTGTTCTCAGTTTTCGATAAGGGATTTGTTCTAGAAGATGGAACTGTTTTAAATGTTGATATTATTAAGGATGTTTTAAGTAGAAATTCAGGAGGAATTAAGTTGTGTCACAAACTAAAACTGAATTATTAATGGTCAGCTGAAACGAGAGACAGAAAAAGCATCTAACTTCTTTGAGTTAATCAATAAATTTTCGATGTTATGAATAGTACCAAGCCATACAGTTCCTCAGATAAATTCCTTAAAGCAGCATTTGGATTAAATGAACATCATGAGAAACAAATTCAAGTTTTGAAATTAGTGAAAG